GGCCTTGTCGCGACACGGTGCCGGCACCTGATGAAAGGTTACGGCTTTACGCCACGTCAGATTTTAACCTGCCTTACTGCAGCCAGGGCTACGCATTTGAACGAGACGTGGGAACTAAACACAAGGAACCAGGGGAAGCATACGAAGACACTGTGATAAAGTGTTCATATATTTACTCCTTCTTTTAAGGGACCAAAAATGTCCCGTTTTGTTTCTTTAACTAGCTGTACAGAAATCTTGCCTTCATGTGAAACAGCCAGATATGCATCAGAATACAATGGAAAAAATTACAAATATATTACGCAGGCTTTTGAATTCCTCGAGGTCTAGGACAATAACATCATTTTTGCTGGCTTACAGATGTAAAAAACTAATGAAAGCTAATGCCAATGTTAGCTAAGGAAAGAGCTACTTCTTGAAAGCAAGTCTGATGTAAAATACAGCTTAGAGAGGAAAGAGCAAGTCACTGATACACCAAATTAACTGAGAGACTTGTAATTGCTTGGACCTTGGGTAAATAGTCATCTAACAACTTGCAGAGAATGATGCTGTTCAGTTGTTACTAGACTGGAGGGGATTCAGTTCGGCATCCTGATTTTGATAAGCTCAAGGTCTGCTAATACTTAGCATGCACACATTCAGTATTTTAGTCGTATTTTTAAAAGTTTGGGATTAGCAAGCATAGAAAGAGTCTTTTTTTGTTTAAAAGTTTAAAAATAAAGTTGTTGTATGTCTAAACCCAAAAAAGGCACATGTAAAACCAAGGTCACTCCTGAAAGCCGTTCCTTCGAAAGGGGCAGGAACCCCTGCTCGAGGTTTAGGCGCTAACTCTGGGCCTGGGAAAGCCGAGCTCAACCTTCCGCTCCGCAACGCCTCTCCCATGCACAGAGAGGGAAGCAGCGAGGCTCCTCTAACGCATCACTTCTCTGCGTGTCAAGCGACGCCAGCGGTACTGTCATAGCCCTCCAACGTGAGGACAGCGACAGAGGTGGAAACAGATGGCAGGGAAAGACCTGGGCGATCATGTAAAACCTTTCACAATTTTACCCCAAATCGCGATGTCCTCTTAAAACCATTCC